GCTGCTGGTGTTCCTGCGGCCACCCCCTGGGCACTCTTTCATCCTGGAGCAGGACAGCTCGGCTGGGCAGCAGCCAAAGCCGTGCTCTGATATCCGTGTGGAGCTGGAGTGCACGTGCTCAAGGGAACACCTGAGGGGATTGACCTTGTGTTTTCTCCACTCCACTCACCAGAAGCTGCCCAAGGATCAGATGTCACCTCTGCTGCGCACCCTCTGCACAGGTTCCTACTTAGAAGTGGAGAGAATTGCCAGCTGGGTGATGGATTTGGTGGAAGCAGCCTGGTGGCGTTTGCCTTACTGGCACCACCAACATCTAAGGATGCTGCCCTCGTCCCGGTCCTGCAAGTTCCTGGTGATCAGCCCGTCCGAGAGGCACAGCTGCATTGAGCTGTTTTTTGCTCTGCAACAAGGCAGCTCAGAAACCTACCTGATCCCAGAGTAGGCAGCAGCCAGTTTTTCCAATCTGCTGCTTTAGTCTATTCTCTCTTCTCCATTTGGGGTTGCTTGTATTGCTGATGCTCAGCGCCCAGCCACTTACTCCACCCCCTTCTCCTCCTCGTCACCCTGGAGGAATGGGGACGAGATTCTAAATCCAAACTGTAGATAACTTTACTAATAATAAGTTTACTAATACCTTCAAGAGTAGGTTTAGGACTAAGTTTAAAAGTAAGTTTAGTTTGTAAGTTTAATAACAATAAGGACTAGTTTAATAATAGAGAAATTAGTTAATAATTTAATTTTATAAAACTCTAAACTAAAAGTTAGATAAATTTAACTCCCTACTCCCCATGTCCCCTACCATGCTTTAATCCCAGTTGCAAATGAAGCACCAGCAGCCACTCTCTCAAGTCCCTTCCCTTCCCCGCCACCCCAGTTTAAGAATAGCTTTTATTAGAACTTTAGTGAAGTTTAATAATTATAAGGTAAAAAATAGATAAGTTTATTACTAACAATTTAGTTTTAAAAAACTCAGAAGTTTTAGAAAGGTTTCTAGTTAAAAGCAAAGTAGAATTCAGTCATAGTGGTAATTAATAATGAAGAGGATCGTAGAAAAGGAAAGACAAAAACACAGACAAGTGATGCCCAATAGAGTGGCTCACCAACAGTTGAGCGATGCCACACCCTCCTTGCAGAAGCCAGATGGACCCCCCTTCCAGCTCCCTCCCCCAGTTCTAAGTTGGACATGTCCTTGGGTGGTGTGGACCACAAAGATAGAACGGAACAGTGTGCAAAGGCCCATGGGAAAGCATCTAGGAAAGGGAGAAACATGGAGTAGTGTGAGAGAAATCTCCTGTCCTTCTGGCTCGACCTTCAAGCATTCAGCCAGCAGGACATCACCCACAAGGTGCCTCAGTCGTCCTGTGCAGTCCTGCTGCTGTCCAAGGCCCTCTCAAGGCAGCTGCTCCAGCACTCCTGAGGCAGCAGGACAAGCTACCAGGCTCCAAACAGCCTGTGGAGCCTTGGGAGTGAAGGCAGCAGCAGAGCAGCAACTGCACTGGCAAAGTTCTCAGGTGTAGACACAGCGCAGCTGCTCGGCATCTCCTGCACGGAGAGCAGAAATAAAAGAAAGGAATGATCACACACCAGTATTTCTGTGGTAACTCTATAAGGATCTCCCTGGCCCGTGTAGCTTGGGACGCAGGGATTGCCCACCCGGACCGGGGAGGGACAAAGCGCTCTGGTGCAGCCACATGTCACTTGGAGTGCAAGGCCAAAAGCCAAAGCCCACGTCCAGGAGAAGGCCTTGGGGGTTGTGGAAGACACCTGACATGCAACAGCTCGAGAAGCCGATCTTGACAGACAGTGCAGCACAAGTCCTCCAAATGTGCATGGGGCACACACCATCTCCTCTGCACCCACTGTTCCACTGGGCCCATTGTTCCCACCCAGCTGCAGCACTGGCTTCACACACAACCTGGGGAAATCAGAGGGAGCTTTCATCTCCTGTGCCTTCCTGACTCTCCTCACGGCACACAAGGCACAGCAAAAGCATACCCAGTGCACAGGGAACCAGTCCACCTGGACAGCTGCAGCAGCACTGCCCGACCTGCTTGCTGCCTTAGATCCTGTGCCCTGGATACTCAGAGAGAAGCATGCCAGCTCTGCCCAATCCCAGGGACTTGCATTCTGTTGCCAAAGCTTTGATATCTGCAGAGGACCTTTGAGTTGTACAATGCCCAACTGGACTCAGGTCACAGCCTCTCTCCATAAGCTCCTGTGTCTGGAGAGGCTGGGAATATTGTTCTGGCCAGGCTGATCCATTCAGAGTCTCTTGCCCATGTCTCTCTGTGGGAGCTCATTTTTTCTGAGCAAAACCAATCAGCCAAACCAGAAACTTCTCAGAAGCCCACCTGCATGGGAGCCCTGGAAAGTCACGACACTGATCTAGAAGCTCTACTGTCCAGTTGGCCAGAGCAATTCAAAGCAAATCAGCTTGACCAAAGGAAGACCTTCTGGAGGCCTGCTCTGTCCGCTCAGGACTTTCAGGGTCTGCAACTGAGCTCTTGAGGGGACAGGTCAACTTCCACTTGAGAACTCAAGGTAGAACTGCAACTCACATCTCCACAGCCCACAGGATCCCTGAGGCATTGTCTTCTCTCTTATGCAAAGCCTTTCTTTCTTCAAGGACACTTGGTCTTAGAAATAAAGAGAACAGGCAAGTCCGAGTCTCTGCCCATTGTCAAGGTTTATTTGCTGTTGCAGAGGCACACATCAAACTTCAGCCTCCAGAAGAGTAGGTTCAAGCTAAGCCAAGCTTAGCGCCATCTCAAGGCTCTTTTCCAATCCATAGTCCCTTTTGGATTCCGCCAGTCAGGGAAATCTTTGGTATGTGATGGTTGCAGGTGCTTGCTCATTTCCACAAGTGGGCTGGGCTGGATGGGGGAATGGTCAAATGCCCAGGGGACTTTGTAAACCAAAGCAGGAGATGGAAGCTCCACAGGGCCAGGCAAAGAGGCTCTGGGCTGGGGCAGGATGGGCCCTGTGCTGTCTGCAGCCAGGCGCTGCCTTCCCTTCAAGCCTCGATGCCCGTGCTCCCTCCCACCCCAAGCCACTGAGGAAACTTGTCTCCCATCTCCTGCAGGCCATGGACTCAGCACTTGTGCTCCTCCTGGCTGTGCTGGCCGTCCTGCCCGAGCCGACCCACGATCGCCCGAGCGATGCAGTCGCTCTGGAGCGCATGAAGAGACGGCAGATGTTTCTCGAGGAGAAGATGAGCGAGCTGCAGGAGGAAATGGAGTGGAGGAGGGCCCTGGAAAAAGTTCCACTCCTGTGGATCTTGCAGCACTGGCTCTTCTGGGCGGCTGCAGCGGCTGTGCTCTGCTGGCTGGCCTGGCGCCGTCAGCGGGACAGCCGGCGAGGAGAGGAGGAAGAAGAGCTCGGCGCAGCAGCCGGGGCCGTCAGGCCTTTCCCAGAGCTCAGCCGGTCACCGCCGCAGGACCTGCCCTACATGGGCCGCACCCTGAAGAAGCTGGTGCGGGACCTGCTGGAGGTGTGCCAGGTGCTCTCCCAGAACACCTTCATGCCAGAGCTGCACCCGGCCACCCAGAAGCAGGGCCCCATGGAGTCCTGGAGTGACCTGGGGCACCAGATCGTCTACCAGCTGGTCGTCTTCCTGAGGCCACCCCCCAGGCACTCTTTCCAGCTGCAGCCACCGGCCGGCAAGAATGTGCCAGAGAGGTGCTCCAACATCCGGGTGGTGCTGGAGTGCTCGTGCTCCAGCACGACGGGGGAGACGTCGTGCTTTGTCCACCCCACGCACGACGCTCAGCCCTCGCGCCTGCTACGCACCCTCTGCACAGGCTCCCACTTGGAGGTGGAGAAAGTCGCCGGCTGGGTGCAGGACTTGGTGGAAGCAGCCTGGGAGCGTTTGCCCCAGTGGCATGACTGGAAGCTCCAGCTGCTGCCCTCCTCCCGCTCCTGCAGGCTCCTGCTGACCGGCCCCTGCGAGGTGCAGCTCTGCGCTGAGCTGCTCTTGGCGCTGCGGCAGGGCCGGCCAGGCAACTTCCTGGTGCTGGAATAGGCACCTGCAACCTTGTGCGTTTGCAGAAAGGCAGCTCTGGTAAATCCCTGAGCTTAGAGTAGGCAGTGGCCAGCTTTCCCAGTGTGCTGCTCTAGTCTGGGGCAGAGTTAGAGTAGGGCAGGTCTAGAGTATGTCTGGGGTTAGATTTTCCCTTTTTGCCCTTTTCCAAGCGCTGGTTTTTGGCTCTGGTAGAAACAGGCTTAGTATGACCTTAGACTAGTAGGGGTTTAGATTCTTCCTTAGTGCTTTCCCAAGGGATTGTTTAGTCTGGGGTAGAGTTAGGCTAAGACATACAGTCAGTATAGGGTTAAATATTCTTCATATACTCAACATGGGGTTATATTTTTGTACCTTTCTGCTTCAAACTTGAAAATAAAGAGAAAGGTTGACCAGAGCTTGCCCAGTGCCAAGGCCTTTTCTGCTTCTCGTATTGCCAGGCTGGGGCTGGGGTTGCCTGAGGTGGTGTTGGTTGCACTATGCTAGTATGTTTATATTTGGGTTCAAGGCCAGCCAACACTTTTTGTATCCTGATTAGTGCATTTTTAATTTGAAATTGTCACAGCCCTGTGCTTTTGCTACACAAGTCTTCTCTGCTTGCAGTAAATAAAACCTACATTACATAACATGGGAGATCTGAAGGCAAACCTCCTCAAGGGATGTACATTCTCCAAACTCTTTCAGTTTGAAGTTTGGGCATCTTCTTCTTTGTGTGACTAATGAAGTTAATGACTCAGCCAGGTTTACCTAAAATAGCTCCTATAACTCCACCTAAGACCTGAGTGCCTATTTGTGGTGTGTTTGTTGGCTCTCTATCTAATACCTGCAACCACATTTTCTTCCTCTCTAGAGGGTCTTTAGATTAAAAAATGCCACACTTGTATCTTTATTGGCTCCAGAGGTCAATGTGCAGAACAGCAGCTCCACTAAGGAGAGATGAAATAGCATAATCCAATCACCTGTGCATCAGAATAACAACCAGGAGACCTGGATTTTATTCTTGAGTCTACTACTATCAGTTTTTATGACTTTAAGCAAATAATTCTGTTTTCTGCACTTTAAGTTTTCTTATCTACCAGGAAAAAAAAAAGGGAGGGTAAAGGAAACATTTTTTTTTAGTAACATCTGTGAAATTAATGCATTGAAAATAATGTGTGAAAATGTGTAAAAACTAAATATTTTCAACCATCCTGACGTTTATTTGAATTGATTGTCTTTCCTTTTTAATCCTGTGTGAAAAAAATCTCCAGGATGAAACAGAAAAAGGATTAGGATTCAGTATTGTAGGAAGGTTTCATTGCCAATGTTGACTTTTATGTTTTCCTATAATTTGGAATAGAGGAAAATAAGCTCCTTTGTATCCTCTAATTCTTCATTTAAACCTAATTGCTTAATTATTCTACCCTGACTTAAAATTATGGACCAAAAATGTCCTTTAATTGTCGTTTTAGCAAGAGATACCATAAAAAAACCTGACTGTATAAATATTTTTGTCCTTTAATTGTCGTTTTAGCAAGAGATACCATAAAAAAATACTGACTGCATAAATATTTTTGTTATATAGTTTCAAACTAAAAATGTAATTATTTATTTATTTGAATAAGGAGTTTATCTGACAAGAAAATCAAGGCCTATGTTACAATTTTTCTGAATTGTGTTTGGCTTTCACTACTTTGTTATCGATGCTCTATATTTCAAATTTCAGTGCTTGTGATAGGTTTGGGAATCCATAAATAGAATTTTCTGACCGATACAATGCAAAAGACTGGACTAAATATTTTCCGTTGACATGATACAGTTGTTCTTTGAATAGTAATTCCTTTTAGGTTTATGAATGGCAGGACTAGAGACATTTCAAAGTCTGGAGTTGTCACAACTCCAGGCTGTCTTAAGGTGAGGTTTTATGGGCCTACCAAACCTGAAGAGTAAGAAGATAAAGCAAACTGCTAAGAAACAGGTGATGAAGTTTGGGGTAGGATCCAGAAAGAACTGCTAAGTTGAGCAAAGCAGGACTCTGGAACAGGGACAGCAGTGATGAGAAACAAAAAAACCAGGTGGATTCTGAGTCACAATATGGGAACAGAGTAAGATCCTATCACTTCCACGAGTAAACCAGACTGATTTGTCTCCTGTGCCGTACTAACCCTGTAAGCTCCTTTAGCACTCACAATAAAACAGAATTAAAGGCATGGCTCTGAATCAATGTCTGTGTAGCAAAAAGATCTTTGTGGAAAAACAAGGATATTTCCATAGATAAATCAGTTTTTATGCCATGTCGTAGCAGAATGGAGACACTTCACATCAACCTGGTGTAGTGGAAGGTGTCCCCGCCCAAGCAGGGAGGTTGGAACTAGATTGTCCTTAAGATACTTCCCTACCCAAACCATTTTGTGATTCCGTGATCCTGTGTTATACAGAGCAAAGATTTGAAGTAGTCACAAAAATGGAAGTAAAAGCAGAAGAAAAGCAAACTGGAGAGCTAAATGGCTGGGACCATACTTTAAGAGGTCAAAAAAAGATGTATTGAGTAGTGTGGCTGAGTTGCTTGTACAAATATGCAATGATTCAGACTAAAGTCACAGGATCTGGCTCATTTTAAAAAATGCACCAGAGGATGAAGCTTAAATCCTTCATTCCTCTCTTAGTATCTCCATAGAAAGGGGTTATGACTGCTTGAAGCACAGACTTTACTGTGACTCCACATTAACTCTGGTTTGACACAAGTGTCCCAGTGCAGCCTCTACTGTCTGTGCTGGTTTGAAAATGACAAATATTATGTACTACCTAATTTAACTGACTGTAGAGTAGTTTGCTGTATTTCGGTCCCGGAACATCATTAATTAAGATTCATTGAATTGAAGAGAGTAGATTAGGTTACCAGTGAAAGCAGATCTCTCAGGTAGATGTTGTAAATAAAAGGTGTAGGCTGCATGTGAAGAGCAGTCACAAAACTTCGAACTTCTACACTGGCTTGATCTTGGATAAATCTGTCATGTGTTCTAATACTCCATACCCAGAAACTATTCCATGCTTTAGTTTCAATATTTTCTTATTCATACAGAAATACCATTCATTTTGACTGTATGGAATAGATTTCTAAAAGTGTTATCAGCTTTTCTGCAAACATGTCAGTCTTGATGATTAGATTATATACAGCAAATAAATATGTTGGTTTTGTTTTAGCTCCAGAGCCACCACAATCAAATCGGGGTTGTCATTACATACAAATGACCAACATACGTGTGTATCAACCATCTGGAAAGATCATTTTACAATCTGAGTTTTCAGTGGTGGAAAATCTCAACCTATGTACTCAGTATTTCTAACCTCAGACAACCATGAGATGGACTTTCATTGTTAATCTGTTTACCTTTTTCTCTAAATTGTGTTTCTCCACTATAAGAGGTTATAAAAATACCTTCAGAGGAAGAACAAGGTTCTGAAAAAAGGGATCCACTCACAATCTACTTTTTTAAGGAAAACCCATTTATTGTTCCAGTTCATGTAAGTTGAAGGGAAAAGGAAACGAGCAAAAAGAGCCATGCAAGATGTGTGCTGCTGTCTACAGATTACCTGAAAGAACAGTTCTGTGAAATGTGGCTCTCATTTTCCACAGTCTTTAAACCTTTTAAGTCAAGTAATGACCTAATTATATAAACTTATGCTCAGATTTCACACAGTCGTGTAATATTTTTAGATGGACTTGAGATATCTTTGAGGTGACACCATAGAGGAGTTAAATGTTTATTCAGATATTCTTTATTCTTAATAACATTGTTTGAAAAAAAAAGAAAAAAATCTTTTTTCTAAATCCAACATAATCTGTGAGAATACCTGTTTTAAGATCTCAATGCTTTTTTTATATCCATGCAGTTTTTTATAGCAGAAATGTAACAAATTGGTAAGAAGTAATTAAATCCCGATATTTTTCACCTCTGAAAAACCAGAATATACCCCAAAAAGTGTTTTTTTCAAGATGGACTCTGACTTAAAAATGAGAATTTTTCATGCTATAATCTATGTATTTGCTGATGAACAGTAAAGTTCCCACAAACTTTCTTACAAAAGTTCTTAGAAATGATGTTTTCAGCTTTACAGATCTTGATGTAAGAACTAATGCAAAGACCTCTACCAGACAAGGTTTCTAATGAGAAATTCTTTTTCTGACTGTATTTTAAAATTTGGGAAGAGGAGGCTACATGCAGGAAAGAAAATGTCTGTCGTGTTTCTGAATTTGCAGAAATTATGTTTGCTTAAGAAAAACTTTGCTGGAGATGGTAGACAAGCTGCAAAAGAGTTTATGGGGAGACTGAGGCAATCATAATTGTTGCTGTCACAAATTGTCTGTTGTGCTATGAATAAATAAGGAGTAGTTTTGTATTAATGCATAGTGGAAGTCTCACTTCAGTGTGCAGCAAACTCTGTCCCTCTGACAAAAAAGGGATAAAAATTATAAAAACCTAGGAAAAGGTTTCCCACAGAAGTTCAGTGAGATTTAATTAGTTTTCTGATTAAAATCTTTTATTGTGCATGTCAAACATACATGCCTCCTCATCAAGCCTGTGCTGTGAATGTGTGAGACATATCCACAGATGCCTTACAGAAGCCATCTGGTTGCCCAGCTCCTCTAAAACCTCTCACTTATCAAGTTGTTGGTTGTCCTCCACACTGTAACTGACTTGGCTGAAGGTAAAATCGTGAATAATTGCCTCCTTTAAGGTTTTCAGCATTTTCACTTCCAGCTGATACCTACAAAAAGTTGAAATTCTCTGAAGTGCAGGAGGAAAACATAAGTCATCTTGAGTTAGCTGATCTTCTCCTAAAGTACCCAAGGTGCTGACCTTACAGGAATCTTACTCTTCTTTGGTAATAAATTCTATTTCTTGAAATCCTGAAGAAGAAAAATGCAGTAAGAAACACAAAATAGAACCTAAGACGTGAAATCTATTTTTTTTCTTCCATTTCTTTGGTTGTTCAACACTAAATACTGGACTGTAGCTCGTGAT